CCAATGGGATGAGAAGAAACAGACATAGGGCTGGAATGACCTGAGGCAGGTAGCATGTTTGGGGTTTGGTTCACACAAGTGCCGTCTACAGCAGCAAGTTTGGGTGTAGATGCCTGAACTTGAAACCTTGGTTGCACCACATTAGGAGGAACGCAACCATTTCCAGCCAAAAACATAATAGCCTGTGCCTGCGTAATATACCCAGGCAAATATAAACCTCAGAGAAACTTAGCTCATTGCGTTTTCTTACTGGTTAATGCTGCCCTTTATTTATATCAGTTTGTGTGCACGTGAGAGAAAGAAAGACGGTACCTTCTCAGGGGAGATATCATCAAAGACATTGACCGTCCCACCGTAGAAGATGGTCAGTTGAGCAGGTGCTGCAGAACCTTTGGAATTAAACCTGCAAAAGATGTACAACATTTTAGACAAAAAATTCAATTTCTGTTTTAATTCACTGGGACTTTCCTAGCCAAGTTGTCTTAATTTTTTGTATGTCTTTCAATTAATAGCATCACGAGCAACTGCATTACAGTCATCATTGGTATTAACTGCATATTGATGTGCTCATTATCACTACCAAATACGACTTCCATAACACAATATATGCAGTCTGTTCTGTGTGCACGAAATGGTGAACTTACCAAGGTTCAGTTATCCCAGCCACAGAGCCACTCGATGGAAGTATTGAATGAGGAGCTGTAACAGGGATTCCCCCAAGAAGTTGCTGCTTCATTGTCGCAGCTGCAGATATCTGGCCAGTACCACCAAAATGAGTCTTGTAGGAGGGATTGCTGATGTTAAACGGAAGCATCTTAACATCATGGGAAAGATGCATTGCATGCACATTCTGCTGCAGATTATAAGGTGTCAAGCTAAAACAAGTTCCTTGTTACCCGTGGTGACTTAATGTTTTCTTCCCAAATGGTTTTAAAAGGGGTGCAAATCATTTTGAGAAATCCATACACAATAAAAGTAGGAGAACGTTGACAACTTATTGCAATTGGAAACTAATTCGTAGTATAATTCCGCACATGAATGACACAAAAAGGAGAGATAAGCCGAAGCCACTTTTTGGTTAATCTTTCTCCCGTGACTTAAGCTAAAACTTCCGCGAAACATTAATGACAAATAGCTTCGCTAAAAACATGGCAAAATTGAGTGTTCTCATTTGCACGTCATGCAGATCTTATACAACTATATATAAACCATCCTCGTGCAATTAAAGGGACTCTACAAACCTGGATTTCACCAGACTGACGTTTGAGACAACTGTCAACTCCATCTGCGGAGGATAGAGCTTTGGTCGGCTTTTCATCTTGAGCAGAGCTCAAAGACATGAAATGAGGTATACCCACCTTGCTCGACAACTGCCAGCGAAACCCTGATACAAAAGAGGATCATTTTAACATAATACATACTACAAACAATTACTACAAAAACTACAATCATCCGATTAACTTATTACCTCAGAATAGGAAGGAAATCTTTCATTTTGTCCAATTCAATCAAAAATAATTAAGAGTAGCTTACTTTAGATTTAATTAAAAAAACATTAACTACCAGAAACAAATTCAGCAAAAACTTCTTAGGACATACACACCTTTTTCACGATGGAAAATCAATTAATCTAACCATCATCCTCAGACTTCAATCCGAATTCCTTATTTGTTCTTATATCAAAAGGATCTTTCTTTGATAAGTGTATAACTCAAAACCTTTTGGAAAATCAAAAAATTACTAAACCAGAAACTCAGAAGTCAGAAGTTAGCTTTTAGCAATTATAAATTCTTTTCTTGCCAGGCTAGACAAAATCTTGATAAGGAAATTGTATCTTTATAGGCAAAACCAAGTCACCAAGCAACCACACAGAAATATAAAGCCCCACAACAGGGGAAACAAGAAAGTTTTAACAACACAAAATACTCAATTTAGGCAGCATAAATACATAGAGCCAAAAGAAACATTCTTCTTTCACCTGTCTACATTAATTTCAACTGGAATCAACACGCATGCATTAAAGAACATAACAAATTAGATAATACTACTAAAGTTCCCAATTCTATACTCACAACAAAGAAAAAATATCAGTTTAATTCATAATTGGAAAGAAAAAAACGAACCAGAGTCTTTGCAGGTTTCAACAGGTTCTTCCTTAACCACAACAACAGAATCTTTAGAATTCAGTCCCATAAAATCTCTCTCCATCTCTAAGAATTTCAAGAAATACCTAAATTTTAAAATTCCAAAAGTTTTAACCTCACAAAGAAGTAGATCAAAACCACAAAAGCTCAAAACACCAAACCCCAGAAACCCAAAGAAAAAGGTAAGTAAGAAGGAATGAAAGAGAAATGGCGATGTCTATTTATTTTAAGCCTATATGCTTCTAACTGCAGCAAATAGAGAAGTTGATGGCTTTTTTCTCTTTCTTTCTTTTTATATATGCTTTATTTATATTTATATTTATTAGTGGCTTAATCAACGTTTTTCCTTTTCGTTTTAGGGTGCGTATGCACTTCGTTTTCTATATTCATATTGTTTTTGGATTTAAATTAGAAGCGCGGATAAATTATATAAAAAATTATATAATATGAGTAAATTTTAATCTGTAATAATAAGTTATTATTTATTTTTATTAAATTACTAATTAATACTTATTAAAAATTATTATTTTTCATGCAACACATATATTCCCTCCGTTCCAATTTATGTGAACATATTTGATTGGGCACAGAGTTTAAGAAAAAATGAAAGACTTTTGAAATTTGTGGTCTTAAATAAATTAAAAAGGGGCCAGAGTATTTGTGTGGTTATAAAAATTTCTCATTAAGTGTAGAATTGTAAGTTTAAGCTAAATTATTTTTAAATTTAGAAAAGAATTATTCTTTTAAAACTGACCAAAAAGGAAATAAGTTCACATAAACTGAAACGGAGGTAGTATATAATTAAGTTCTTTTTAATTACGCCGAATTGGTCGTATGAGAAAGAGAAAACAAAAATAATTCTAAACTTGAGATGACGGTAGTACCCCCTACTTAATTACAGTAATGAGTCACGTGTTCTTTAAGCCTTCCTATGCATATATGTTTAAAATATCAAGGCAGAATACCTAAAAGTCCCTGTACTCAGCACATGACATAGATTATTAGTTACAATCTTAAATTATTTGTGGTCTTAATTATTCTTTAACTTGATCTTTTGAGAGTCATTATTCCTGGACGCTGATGTGGTAAAGAGAATGCAAGTGTGTGGGAGTAAAAAAAAATTGAAAATTTAGCTTTCAAATATGTTATTTTTTAACTTTTAATTATCATTTAATTATATAAATATTCATTATATATATATATATATATATATATAATAATTTATTTATTACAACTATGTATTTTTTCTTGCTTCGTCTTAACATACAATGTGAATTTTACTCTGCCTTTTATTATTTTTAATTTCTTCTAAGATATAATATCTACTTGTTTCAACTGCATATTTTATTTTATTTTTTGGCCGAATTTGTAAAACGTTTGGCAGGAACTCCATCATTTTAGTCAAATAAAAAACTATTAGCAAAAATAATAGAGTATCAGTTGTATATATTTTCTGTTTTTTTCTTTATATATGATGTCTATTTATTTAAAAAGTGTATTTTATTTTCGAGTCAAACCAATAAAAAATAAATTAGCCATAGCTCCATTATTTTTTACCAAATAAAAAACATATAGCCAAAATAATGAACTTGTAAAATAAAATATATTTTTAGAACACCATAATTTAGAGCTATATAAAAGTTTATAGCCAAAATAATAAATTTCAAACTATGTATTTTTTATAACTTTTTAGATACCTTGACTATTTATTTCAATTGTATAAATCTTTATTTTCAGTCAAAGTCAAAAAAAGTATAACTAAAACATTATTATTTTTATCCAAATAAAAAATAAATTAGCCTAAATAATGTAGTTCTATCCAAGTTGTATTATAAATTCTATTCGAAAAATATTATCTAAAAAAGTAACATACTTAAAAAAGTAAAAATATATTTTATTTTTTTAAAAACAAATGTCACATAGACAGAAAAATCCACGTGGCAGACGAGCGCATGCCACTTTTCTGGGATGAGATCATCCAGGAGTAATGACTCTTAAAAGGCCAAATTGAGCAGGTAATTAAGACCACGAATAGTTTAGAGCTGTAACTAATAATCCGTGTCAAGTTTATGGGGGCTTTTAGGTGTTTTGCCAAAAATTAACTGCGAGTAGAATTCCCCTTTTCATCTAATTGGGTGTCGAAAGTCTCGTAATCTAACATTTCTCGGGAAATAATAATATTCCCTCCGTTTACTTTGAGTTGCTGATTTTTTATTTTGTACTCCATTGAAGGAAATATAATAAAGTATTATATATTTTATAATTTTATCCATAATAATAATAGTATTTGTAAAAGTCTTAAGAAATAATTTGGAAAATGAATAGTTAATGATAAAGATAAAATAGAAAAAAAAAATTCTTTCTCTTGATTTAGTATAGTAAACAAGTAAAAGTAAAAATATATTTTTAGTATAATGGATAAGTAAAAATAAACTGAGGGAGTGATAATTTTGTTTATTTATTTATTTGAAAATTGTACACACTATGTTGCAGACATTGAAAAGTTGCATCAATCTAGTAATTAATTACAACAACTCTCCTTCTTCATCTAAGTTTCAACTTCTTAAAAAAGAAAAAAAAAATCGTCACATGTGTTAGATATCCCCTTTTCTGAAATAAATAAATTCGAAAGTGTTGCATGACTTCTATCTTAATTTCAAGATGTCCATAATACGTTTGTGTTATATTCAAAATATAATATAATAAAAATATCAATAAGTCAAAAAGCTTTATTAGTAAGATATTCCATCCATCAAAATCACCAAAAAACTTCCAAACACCCCATAATTAATAGATCGCCATTCTCAGCTTTAATGATCTCTTAATTGATCTCCTAACTGCTAGTTTTACCCCCCTAACTGTTAGTTACGTTGCTAACTTGTTGGGTGAATGAAATAATAATACGATTAAAGAAAAAGAAAAAATTAGGAACTACTCATCCATTTAGGAACAAGCAAGAAAGCATTATATGAGATAACTAATTTCATAATTTTAATGTAAAAATTATTCTCTATTAAATAATACTTCAAACCAAACACAGAATAAAATTAATTCTAAATTTTATCCCGGACTTATTATGGTTAACTCATGTTCGAATGTACCAAACGAATTGGTAATGAAAAAAATGACCAAGGGTATTATTGACAATTCATATGGAACAGTTTTTCATGTCTACTAAAATAGGGGGAGTGAGACAGTTTTACCTGAAGAACAGGTGAATAGCCGGTCGTACCGGTAACGTACCACGTGCGAGGATTTAGATAAACATACTGTGTACAAAATGCCATTGCCCTACCGCCCCTAACTGTTAGTGGTACCACAAAAGCATGTGCTGTCGTCGATTGAGAAATCGAAACGTGCCCACCCGCTTTAGCAACTCGCAAGTTTTATCGTGATGAGACTTTCACCTGCCCCGAGACAACTCAAGTGTTCAGATATTATTCTAAATTTTCGTCAAAATTTTATTAGGTAGTCACAATTAGAGGCACGAAGTTTCATGCATATCACGTATGCAAATATCGATATATTATTATTGTTTACCCACAAAATCCTATAACAATTGAATTTATACTCGGTTTTAAGGATACGTGATGTAATTTGACACCAATTGAGAAACAGATTGATATTAAGATCAATGACAGAAAAGTGAATGCAAACCACACAAGTTGAATAGTGTTAGCCTTGAAGGTTGGCACCCTCGAGTCAAAAAGTGCATCAATCGATGTCAAAACAGAATAACAAGATAATAAGAACGAGAAATAACAGTGTATTACTTTTGGATGCGTGTTACAATATCTATTACAAATAATCAGACCCCTTTTACATAGTAAGGGAGTCTTACTTTAGATACAATTCTACAAAATGTAAGAAATCTCATGATTTGCTAATTAGTCGGTCTCTCGTTGATACGTGCTGAGATTTCCGCCGTGATATCTGACCGGTTACGGATATTTCGACCTTCCGTTATTCGGTCCGATAATATTTCCTTGAGCTTGATCGGAGTCGGGGTCGATTCCGAAGCTACGGGCTCGATGATCTTGAAGACACATGCTCTAACTTCGTACCTTGGTTCGATATAATCCGGGGTCGATCTTCAAACCATCACGTTTTAGTCCCGATATGTCATGCAATAGATGAGCCCGATTTTGACCGTATCCCCTCTTTTCGGAGAGTAAACGACGAGAAACAATATGAGCCTCCGATCTTCGTCTCGATTCTTCGCGCCATAAACGACAAAACTAACAAAACGTCTCATCAGTCACATCTTTAATGGAATTAAATGTTCGTCAGTTGCTGGTCGGCCATTATGGGTTTTGAACTGTCGTTTACAAACTATAAATACTCCAACTTTCATTCATTCAAACTTTACGTTTAAATCTCTTCTACTCTTGTTCTTAAAAAACATTTGCATTCTCTAACACTTGTACCAGATTTCTTGAGGCTTTTGCAAGAATTTTCGCTTATCTTCATTCCAAAAAACATTAAGCGTGGCCTTTTTAACTTCCTCTTCTTCATCTCTATTCAAAATAAAAATGGCGAAAACTTCTAAGACAATTCCACAAAAAGAAATTGCCTCTTCATCACGGCCTGCCGGCGGGGGACCAGGCGGAACCTCACCCTGAAGTGTTTGTTCCTGGTGGGTGCTTTACCAGTGCTGATTTCAAGGTCAAAAAAACTTCTTCGGTACCGGGTCGATGCGAGCCGGTCTCGAGATATATATGCTCGATCACCGATGATCTCCTCTCCAAGGTCAAAGAGGATTGCAACTGGGCTGATAAACATGCGGTGGTGCCTTCGCCCGAGGAAGCAATTACTACCCACGTGGAGGGATTTTTAAGTATTTACACTTATCCCTTCACGTTGGGTCCCTTAGACCCGGTCATTATTGCCTTCAGCAAGAGGTACGAGGTGGCCCTTGGTCAAATTCATCCCTCTTTCTGGAGGATAGTAATTCTCCTATACTTTTTTGTAAACAAAATCGAGGGGTGTCCCTTCACCCTCGATCATCTCATGGGGTTGTACAGTTTCCGACTCTATCGAGGGGAATTAATAAAATTTGCCCGCCGGGCCAGTAAGGCCCCATTCTTGAGTATAGATGAGGATCAGGATCGAGGCTGGTTGGGCCGATTCGTTTGAGTGAAGACCTCAGATTTAATCCCGACTGAGGACATGCCAATTCATGAGAAATGGAACATGAAACGTAAGTATAACTTTTCCTTAAAGATTTGTTTATTTTTTTCCCTTTTTCCTCCCTTATTATCGAAGTTTTGTGGTGCAGCCG